TCTTTACACCATGGATATTTCATTTATGCATAAAATAGGAAATCGTTTTATATAGAAATATATATTCTGCATACAGTATTACATAGCAAATTTAACTACTTACATGTCGATAAAGTTTCCTAAAAATTTCTATGTATTCAAATTCATAAATTTTGCAAGAAGATTCAAGTCAAAATCAATCTAAATCTGAAGCTTCTCGTCTGCTTTTTATCGTCTGCTTTTATAATCCCACGTATCACGTCATATATGACGTAATATGTGATTATAAAAGCAGACGATGAATAGCTCATTTTCAAATATAAATTTTTAAATACAATTATTAGTTTACAATTTATTTAATTTTTTTAAATTTTAATTAATACATTGATGTTAATTTACAGTATTAATATTCATTTATAATAAAATAATATAAAAATTGAACTGAATTTATTTCTCGAAACCCCGGCATACAATAACTATCTTACCCCGTCATAAATATCGAGCATATTCGAAAATTCAGATTTGTCTAAAATTATTCTGACTTAATGAGTTTATTTATATACGTTATGTCAGAATATTCTTAGGTGTTTACTTTTCTGATTAAACGAATACGTATTCCAACAAAATGGCGGGAGTTAGACAGCTAATAAAATACTTGTGGATATCACTTCGAAGCGCCAAACTTATTGTTAGTAAAGAAAACTCCTAAGAAAAAAATTTGTTATGTAAACGTGTGTGCTATTCCACACCAGGGCTGTGGAGTCGCGTAAAAATCTACCGACTCCAACTCCGACTTTTCCTTACCATCTGACTCCGGCTCCGACTCCACAGCCCTGTTCCATACGGCTACCCACACTGTCGACATTCTCCAAAAGATTTATTTTGAGGTGTTAGATTGTTTGCCCTGTAGTCCTGATCTCGCCTCATCGAAATGTCACCTGTTTGGTCCCCCTAAAAGAAGTGCTACAAAGACGAAGATTCGCATCTGACGCCGATGTTAAGATAGCGGTGCATTTTATGGTTCGAAGCTCAGCCGAAAACATTTTTCAATGAAGAAATAGGAAAACTTATGGACTGATGAACAAAGTGTATTGAAAAACAGGGCGATTATATCGAGAAATGATATATTTGACTATTTGAAGGTTGATTACAATAAATTCTATATAGCCAAAACCGTGGATAATTTTTGACTTTTCCTCGCATAAAACAGATGGGAGGGAAAGTATGGCGATCGGTCAAAAAATGACTTAAGATTTTTACACTTTTAGACTCAGGTAGACTTAGACTCTACCGTGAAAATTAAGCTTTTTTTTTATTTTATAATAATTAAAAATATAAAACGTTTTTAATAATAAATTATCGTAAAAGATGGTGTCACACACTCGGTTTTAAATGTTGCCGGGAAAGTTAAACAATTTGTTGCTGGATTTTTACTATTGGTGTCTTAGAGATAATAGAAATTTGCCAGAAATTAGATTAATTTAGTGAAGAGTTTAGTGAAGTAATTTAGTTTAGAGAAATGTTTCACATTTAAAAATGTGAAAGATTTATAAAGTTCAATTATAATATTTATATTTAGTTTAAAAAACACCAGATTATTTTTAAAAAGATTCGAATCAAAAATACTAATTTTTTTTTAATACAGTGGAACCTCGATTATCCGGACCTCCATTATCCGGATTTTCGATTATCCGGATTGTTCAAAATAAACAAAAATTTTACGAATTTGCTGATTTGAACAGCTGATTTGAACAACAACCCGTAAACTCTTAAATATATTTTACGTCGTAATAAAAATATAACTTGACATACGTATTTATAAATTATTTATATTCAAATTACATCATTTCTATGACCAAGGGCGGCGTAAGGCATGGACGACGTGAGCCACCGCCTATGCCTCGTGGTCCGAAGGGCCTCGCGCCTCGAAGGCATTACTTAAAAGCCGCGAATGCGACGAAAAAATTTTACACGTCATAAAACGATAAATAGTTTGTCAAATTTTTATTCATAAAAATGCAGTTTCAAATGCTTTTTATTTTATAAAATCTGTCTTCTTGCGCCACCAGAGGGCCTTTTAAAACAATAGGTAGTCTGTTAGCGCTGGTCAGTAGCAAGGTCTTAAATAATCTAAGACCTTGGGTCAGTAGTAGTCCAAGTTCAATACGAACGTTTGTTTCTTGAAAATTTGATCACGATTTAAATATAGTATTTATTTTCAATATTACCGATATGTCATCGAAAATAAAACGTGTTGTATTATCATTAAAAGACAAATTAAAATATTTTTTTCGATTATCCGGATTTTTCCTTATCCGGACTACCTTCATCCTTAATTAGTCCGGATAATCGAGGTTCTACTGTATTAGAATATATACTTACTAACAGGAGCGCCGTGCTAATATACTGTATACATGATATAATCGCTATTTAATTCCTTTTTATATTTCGATATAAATTATATTTATTTTCGTTACAGTTAAATAATTATAAAGGTCTTTAGGAATCACCAAATCAGTATAAGGAATCGTCCGTAAATTACGCAACGCACATCCACAATCAACTCCCTTGATTGTAACTTACTAAGGAATACACATAGCGAGATACGTACAAAACAATGACAAACAGTAGGGATGCAATTCTTCGGGAAAAAATTAATTATTCTGTTACCTAAAACTTAATATCACTACGCAACGTTTTTGCAAACAATACGTCTCGTGTCATTGTAATACAGCGTAACAAAATATATCAAAATATATGAAGATTACTACAAAATATGAATGTAAAAATTTGAAATCGTCCATTGAGTCTTGGAAGCTCGAGGGAAATAATGGAAGCACTTCCGGTTTGTGGGAGTATGATGTTAGACTTATATGATTGGCAAAATATAGATCGCGTTTTGTAAATGACATTTTTTCAACGTTTATTCCATTATATATTTCTTTCAATATTACCTACAGCATCCGTTTTTTCGTTATTTAAAGAAATATAGTTAAAACATTTAACATACTATTTGTAAAATTCTATTTAAGTTCAACAGATCTGGACTGTTTTTAAAGCAGAATATTTTATCGAAAAATTGTACTAAATATTAAATATTATACAGTATATCATTTAAAAAGTTTTATTTACAATAGTATAGAATTAATTAACACAATCATTTGGCTCATGGTCGGCGACGCGCCGTAAGTTTGTTTTGATAGATTTGCAACTCTTTTGGGTCATTTTTTTACTTTCCCGGCTGTTATATATAACAGAGAGAAAGTATGGCGATCCAACAAAAAAATGACCCCCTCCAGATGTTTACATTTTTGTACTCGGGATCTTGAAACGTCGAGAAATGTTGAACAATTGGGGTGTTTTTTCTGTATGTTAGTGTATGTGTGGGGGGACACGATTTTGTTCACCCTCTTTGAAGCTTAATAACTCCTGTGCGTTTTGTCGAAAATTTCTGAAATTTGGCAGAGAGGTTTGTTTATTAGGGGAATTGATGCTATTAAATTTTGGTTGTAAAAGACGAGGGGGTGTGAAGTTAAAGAGGGTCGTGTGTCATATATCGAGTAGGACGATTTTCCTCATTATTAGCATTTACATTTGTTTTTATAAAAACCATCCTTATTCTCAAAATTAAGCTTTTTGCCATTTTGTAATAATTAAAAATATAATAAATTTTTAATAATAAAATATTATAATAGATGGCGCAACACACGCAGTTTTAAATGTCGAGACGTTAAGCAAATCCTTGCTGGATTTTTTTAAAGTGAAAGTCTGATTTTTCAGATCAGTTGTATAGTGTTTTTTGCTTGCCAACATTTCTTGTATACTATTTGTGCCAAATATCTAAAATAATCTTCAATTATGTTTTTGGGGGTACAAAAGGATGTTTTTGGCTTTAAAAAACTCCACGGTCGAAATTGAGTAGTGAGACGAAGCTTTGTTAGGCCAAAAGATGAAATAGTCATTTTGATGATGTTTGTTAAGAAAAGGGATTAAAATTTTCTTTACAACATTCGTTTTGTTATGTGTTAGCACCAATTGCAAAGGAGCCCTTCTTAAAAAGTGGTTTAAAAACATCTTTTGGTGAAATGACAATGTACAGCATGATTTTTACTTCAAATTTCTTATTAAAATGTATTTCACTTCGGGAAGTGCTTGATTTTCATTGCTTGCGTAGTAAATTTCATTTCTTGGCATCTGCTTAAAGGAGAGAGAAAACTATTAATGCTTCTCGTCCGAAACGAACGTTTTGTTTCCAAAATTTCTTTCGAGCTATTTGCATTGCGATCAGTTTTCGGCAATTTTTTCAGTAGTGTACTCTGTGACACTCTTCTTCCTTTTTTTTATTTCCATCTTTAAGTATGACAATTGAACTTTTTAACTGTCTCCACCCGGCTAACTACATCTTTGTTATCAAATATTTGTCGCAATGCTCTTGTGTTTTTAACATTCCTAACAACCAGCTTTCCTCCACTTCCTGACCTTCTTTTCCACGTTTCAGAAATTTCATACTTCAAAGTATTATATAGATCTACAATTGAATTGCTATGGCCTTTGGTTAATAAATGCTCCACCGCCAATGTTTTTGAGTAGTTCGCTTTATTTTCGTACATTTGTACAATGCGCTCTTTTAGTATGTCCTCTTTTAAAGCCATTTTTCCAAACTGACTCACGAATATTCGAAAACCACGTGCTTGTACTGAGCATTTATAATGAATGATGTAACTTTTGGGGCAAAGATTTTAAAATTATCTTTTTGAGTTAAAAAAATATGATGCTTTAAATTCAGTCCAGATTTTCTGTCCCATTGTGAAATATGATTTTGTTCTTAAAAATACATTAATAAGAAGCTAAAATTAGCAATATTTGCCAGTCACATTTATAACTATTTAAAAGGTATTATAAAAATGGAAAATATTTTAATTTAAAAGTAAATGAAATAATGAAAATAGATTAAAAGAGTAAAATTTAATTTAATATTTTACTAAATAAAACACTTGCTTAATAAATTTAAAACGGTCGTTTTATTTTGATATCATGTCAACAGTTTTTATTACTATAAAGTGAAAAACCAGTATATGTGTATATAAAATTTACTTAAAATGAAAGTACTTTGTATTAAAAAGTTTTATACAATGCAAATTCAAAAGGTGTAGACAGATTTTAAAAATATTTATCACATATGTCATAAAATAGACAAAAATAAGACGATAAAATAACTTCGTATCAATGTAACAAGTTTCATTTCTCTTGAATTCAATTCTTTGAGATTTGTGATGATAGGAATTCATCTCTTTCAGCTTACATCCAGCTAATTTAGATGATGGTAACAGCCTTAATACTAATGAGATTTATTTTACAATATTCAAAGAGAAAGATTTATTGTGCATATCGTTGGAAATGTTTTGATGATTACGAGAATCTATTTCACTTTTTTTTGTTATAGATATTTTTTTCTTATTAAACATTTTTGAAAATAAACCATCGAAAGTGTTAAGCATTACGGGGAGGAATAGAAAAGAATGAAATGCCGTAATTAGTATGATCAATAAAGTAATTTTTACAAAAACCAACATCATATATGACGAATCAAATGCCAATATTACAATACCTAAAATGGTAGAGACCGATCCTTGCACAATTGGCATTCCCACTGCATATAAAGAATTTTTCAGTCGTTGTTTTTTATCATTAGAATCAGTTGTAATGTAAGCATAGGTAATATGAGACGGGTAATTAACAGAAAATCCAACACACATAATCAAAACTATTAATGAAAACAAATCCAAACTTATATCCCAAAAAGCCATCAAACCGATTGTTTCAACTTGGACTGTAATAATCACAATGGTTACACAGAAACAGCATAACGGATTCGATATAATTATAAAAAATACGACCATCATTGCACATGCAGCAATACAGATTGTCTGAATTGTTATAAATTTGGTTTCAATCATTTGTTCGAAGAAAGGGAAAGGAATACAATAAACTATTATGGGTATTTTACTGTTCTTGGCAATTTTTTTCATATTTATTAAGAAGTTTCTTTCATCCGGTCCACTTTGGATTTCATCAGCTAACAAGAAAAATCTACTCGCTACAATCTCTGTATAATTCTCATTAAAAGCAATATCATTTTCATAGTTTTTAGTAAATGGAAATTTTAAGACAATTTGACGTAAAGCATCAATATATTCTTCTTTTACTGACAAATTAAAACGATCAAAATAATGTTTTGACAATGACAATTCAGTTGCCATTTTATAAACATCAAACCACGCTTCCGTAACATTCGTAATATAAGGATTTTGTTCAAATGTTGCTATAAGTTCTTGTAAATCTTTCTGAACATTTGGATCAGCATAATTAAGAGGAGCGTTTATGACCACATGTATCCGGAGAGAATATTTCGGAAAATATTTATAATGTATGTCGAAGAATTTATTTAAGTTTGAATTTTTTGGAACAACTCTTTTAACCGAAACTCCCTCTTTTAATTGACTCAGTGCCCAAATTGATAAAAGTAACACCAAAAAATAAGAGATTACGATAAGTGTTTTTATCCAGGTCTTCATTAATAATTCTCCAATTTTATCTTCAAAGAATTTCAAAATCGAATCTTTTTCTGTATGCGAATCAGAACTTTCTAAAATAAATAAATTAATATTAAAAATTTAAATTTTTATATTAGTCTTGTATAAATTATTTTTTATTTATACAACATTTTATTATTCTAATAGAGATTCACTAAATAATACAATATTTGTAATAATAAATATAATTAACATTATTGTATTTAAAAGTAAAAACTTTTTATAAGTTTAATTAAATTAGTAATATACAAATTTTAAGAAAGTTCAATTATTCAAATTGTAATAATACAGGATTGTCCATTTTAATCAATCTACTGAAATTCTCGAAAAATACGCATCCTACATAAAAAATTTGTGACGTTCATTGAAAAAATGAACAAAAATTCAAAAAAATAATTAGGAAACTATTATTATTTGGTGGAATCAAAATCACTGTCTTCTCTTTACCACAAACTTGATGGCTTTAAAACACTGTGGCACATAGTTTTTGTATCAGTTCGTTATATGAAGAGAAATAATGATTACACCAAATCATAGTAGTTTCCTGATGACATTTTTAGCATGTTTCTTTCTTTTTCAATGAACTTTACAGATATCCACAGATTCACGCGTGTACAACAGCTGCATAAAACTTCAAACTTTCTTAACTTTTCATAAATGCGTCGTTCAAAAAAATGTTTTAGAAAAAAGTTTAGTTGTTTTTGATGTAGAATCGTAATCTGCAATAAAAAATGAGGATTCCCATTAAAAAAATAAGTTAACTCGTTTTTTTCATCGATGACGATCTATGTTAAAACCGGTAATACCATTTTGTGGATCTCTCGAAGTCTAACATGGTTTAATAAGTTTTCTTTGTGGGATGAGTATTTTTCTAAATATTTTAGTGAATTTATTAAAATGGACAATCCTGTATAATTACAGTGAACGTCCATTAATCTTATATGCTCGAAGCTTTGAGCGAAGATGGGAGGATTGTGCAACTCTAGAATTACATACTGATACATGTATTCGGTGACGGATCTAGGTTTATCGGGGCCTAGAGCTTATTGAAGTCTAATGGGGCCCTATTTTTTTGTTACTTAAGAATCTTTACATTGATTACAATAAAACAAATAATACTATAAATTATCATTATTATTACATTATTAATTAATATTAACTATTTTTTACTATACGATAAGTGCTCATTGTTAATGAAAAAGTATTAAAAATTTATGATAATAATTCAATTTTTGTAAGCCCTTGACACTTGGGGGCCCAGGACGTAAGCCCTATTAGTCCCTATGTAAATCAGCTCCTGCATGTATTGTATAGATACTTGATCTAACTTGTAAAATTTTCAACTTAAGAATGTTAAAATCGTAAATTTTAGCTAATGTTACTAATTTTTACTAATTAAAAAATATTATCGAAATTTGCCGCGAAGTATAGTAGATCAATAGAAAAGAACGATGATTTTTATAAAGAAAAGTGAAAAACTTTGTATTTTGTCTAATGTTCATCTCTTATTTTGTTGCCCAGTTGGTCGTCGTCTAGTTGACGGTGTTCTGGAAACTGGTTCCTATTTAAACGTGAAGAAAACCCGAAAACTCCATGCGGCTAGCCCGTTGGTAAATCCACAGCTACTAGTGGTGTTATCCACTGGATTACTGTTGGGCACGAACATTTTTTGAAAGTTGTTTTTATTATTTACAATACAGTGCTATTTATTGTTATTATACTGGTTATTTGTCTTATATAAAAAATGTGTCATAAATATGTTAGTACAGGAAATACTTAATAATTAATGGGTTCGCTATTTTACGCGAATTTCCACTTACGAGAGGGGACGTCTTGGAGCTTATTAGTCATGTATGGCGAGATCTTACTGTATTTCATACAAAAATTATTATGAAATGGTTTAATTTTGTTTTATATTTAAGTGATTTTATTATAATGATAAAAATGAACTTACCTTTTTCATTTTGTAATCGTTTGCAACAAAGTAAAGAATGAATTCTTTTTTCTTCTCTATATCCACTTAAGGCCATACAAGCGCCAAAAAACGTGATTTGATATATATATGTAAAGAATATTGCTACGGATGCAAAAATGCAAAATATTCTGACAATCGGTAAGTTTGTAATAATACCAATGCAAAAAGAAAGGCAACTAGTTAATGAAGTTATTGTAATGGAAACAGCTGCTTCGGAATAACTTTCACCCATTCTTTCTTCTACACTCTTTTTTACATTTGATCTCCTCCAAGCCGATATTAACACAAAAGAATCATCGATACCCATTCCTGTAATTATTTAATTCGAGTTTAATAGAAAGCAAAAATAATTTTAAAAATTGATAAGAGAAAACTTTAATATGATACCTAATATTAAAAATGGAAGGACGATAGTAATATCGGCAGATTCAACTTTTAATATTGTTAAAAATCCAAATGTACTAGCTACGGACAAAAGAGCAGATATACAACTTGACACTCCTAGCCAAGGTTTGCTTCTTACCCAATCATTGGTCATGCAAGAAACAACAGCAAATAATACAGTGCATAGCAAAGAATATATAACTAGTGGTAAAGATGATGATATAAATATTTTCATTTCTGTTTTGAAGGTGGATAATCCAACAGGTTCTATAATTATCTCTTGAAATGCAATGCCTTTGAGATGTTGCTGTAAAGTTGTTTCCCATTCCTTACAAATTACTTGTTTTTCATCTTTTATACTTAATGTATATACCAATCTAAAAGCCAAAGCATCTAGTGCATGTCCACTTTCGTCTGTCGTAACTCCTCCCAAATTATAAAACCAAGGAATCACTTTAAATTTTTTCAAGTCAATTTCAATAGGATAAACCACTTTAAATTTTCCCTCGCGAAATTTTTTAATTTTTTTATCTAAGAGTAATCCGTAGTTTGGTGGGCATTGCTTATTATACTTGGAACACAATTGATTGTAAGTCCAATTTTTACCTTCGTAATTTACATTCCAATTTGTTATAATCTTGTTAAATTGGACAATTTCTTCAAATACATTCTCTCGTAATATACTAAGTCCATCTTTCGCTATTATTTGAAATAAAATAAAGTTATCGTCATCAATTGCCCTGCTTGGATCATAACCATCAGCATCCATTGGAAACAATCGAATAATAGCATCTTTATCTTTTGACCATTGACCATTTATAGGACTAAATAAGTAAAATGGGTCTCTCGAAAATTCCATTTTATAAATAAATGAAGCCATAACAATTGAAAATAATAATGGAAGAAGAAGGAAATATAATGGATATTTTCCTATAATTCGTCCAAGTGATTGGTATTTGCTGATCAAAAAATTCTGCAGATGATTTTTTGACATCTTCCAAAAGCAACTGAAAAAATACCAAAAATAATTATTAAATAAACTTTATAATAATGATATTAATAATTTTTAAAACTATTTTAAAAATCATATATTCAGTACTTTTGAAATTTATTACTAGTATTTTAACACAAAATTCAAATGGAACATTATTTAAATTTTTCTAAGCGTTTATATTTTATTTTTTATAATAAACTGTTTATTGATAACTAATAAAATATAAGAAAAAGACATAAAATTAATAAAATAATGATATAAAAATCTATTTAATTTCATTTATGTTCTAATTTTTAGTAATTCAGTAGCCCATCGTTATATCGTGCCTCGTTATATCACGGTTTCGGCTATATCACTCTTTTTTGGACCCCAAATTTTAAAAGCATTCCAATAAATAAATTTTAAAATATCACTTGCCATTGAATTTCTTTCTGCGACGAATACGGTATTTTATTCCTAACATTGTCCTTGAAACTACCACTGCAGATGAAACAATAAATTCGTCAAGATCTAAATAAGCAAAACAAGGGACAGACCAATTATCATTAATGTTTCCTTTTGATATTAAAAGTTGTTTATTTATTTGTTTTAAGTACTCTCTCCTCATTTACAAATTTCATTCGAAATTTCACACTTTTTTGAATTGACACAATACCGTCAATTCACCTAAAGACGTGAAATTTCGAATTCACAGCTTAATGTGTAAGATTTTTTTTTTTTTTTTATTTCAGAAAGGAAAGTTCTAAAATTTTTATACAGTAGTAACTTTATTTTGTTTTACTCTTCAAAATTACAGAGTAGAATTTTTACTCTGTAATTTTGTAAGTTTTGATGTTCTATTATATGTTCAATATTTATTTTTTAAATTTTCAATTACTGTATTTACAATTTTTATTGAAAAATATATATTTCACGAATTTTTAATAAGCGATTTATTATAAAGTATAGTACTGTATAATAAAATCGAAACTGATATTTTATTTTTATATCGAAAGTATTTGTGTTTAAATGTCATTGATAATGCGTTCGTGGTATCGATGTTTACGTAAACGTCATTTAATACGACATAACTATGAATAAAATTCAGTATTGCAAAACTAAACTTATTTTATATCAGAAACACTTGCTGACGAAAGAATAGAGCAGCGTTTCTCAAAGTGGGCGATAACGCCCCCTTGTGGGCGCTGGAGGCTTTCAGGGGGGCAGTAGAAGGCTCAAAGAGAATTGGGGGGCGTTAAGGAAATATAGAGGAGCGACGGCAGACAAATTCTATATATAAAAATTCGACGGAATATATATAAAATGTTGATATTTTATATATTTTTTATTGAAGGTAACAACTTGAATATTTCTAACACATTGACTTTTATTTTAGCTCAGCGTTTCTCAAAGTAAGCAATAACGCCCCCTTCTGGCGCGATGAATAGATCTATGATAGAGGCAGGGTATTGAACGGTGACCAAAGGCAAAATTGGGGCTGATAAGAGGAAACATTGCGTTTAATGGTTTCCAGATGATGAGAACAATGTACAGTAAGGACACAAAGTGTGAGATTCATAGAAAAGTTTTCCTAAGAATATTTCCAATCCTTTTCTCACACAAGAGAAAATGGGTTAGGGGGCGTTGGGTATAACTTTATGGAACGAAGGGGGCGGTGGATCGAAAAAGTTTGAGAATCACTGGAATAGAGGATAGAGATTCCAAAACATGTGTGAGAGCCCGAACCTAACGAAATTTTTGAAAAAATTTTTGTCCATTAAATTAAAAAAATATATTAAAACTTTTCCCACGATTATTAAATGCAAAGGATATGATTGTATCTTTCTAAGATAATACATCGAATGTGTCACGAGGAACTTACGAAAAAATCGCTAGTGGACGGAAAAATCAACATTACCAAAAATGGGCAATAGAAGAAAGGGGTAAGGAGCCCCAAATATTGGCATATGGCAATAAAAGGCAATGTCCGATGGCGATACGAGAGTTCGTCCGTCACAGAGGGTCCGTCGTCATCGAAAGTTCGCCCACTTTAGAGTTCGTACGTGTTCTCGATACCTTACACACGTCAGATACCTTCCTCCGACGACGTTCCTGTTACCTGGACAATCAGTTAACCTATTATCAAGAGCAGGGGTCGTCAAAGTGGTCGATACAACATCATTGGGGGTCGATGCGGCTAGGGGGTCGATTGAGGGGTCACAACCTTTTTTTTATGTAAGGCTTTGGAAGTGGTTGGGGGTCGACGGTTAAAAAAGTTTGGCGACCCCTGATCAAGAGTCTTCCATCGAGACTTTCGAGTCATCAATTCGTCAAGTTATAAACCAACGATTGGCAACCAGGAACATCCTCAGATTATAAGGTATTTATCCACCCGCGAATCTATGTAAACTCTCTCTCTCTCTCAAGACTAGGACTCGCGAGGATAGTTACAATAGTCTTTAATATAATATACTAACATTATATAATATTCAAAGGCGATGTCGACCCTTCGGTCCTGTGTTACCGAAGCATAGGGGGAGCTTCGCGCATTGTTACACATGTATAGGCCTTAATCTGTTTAGTAAAAGCCCAGAATTTTTAGTACTAGGTTAAATCGCGCTGTTTCTTTGTTTCCCGACAAGGGAAATATAACGAGGTGCTACTGTATTTAGTTTTTTGTTAGGCCGAATTAACAAAAGTTTAAGGTCTCACGGTTTTACTTTCTTGAATATTATAGAACACAACATAAAGAAACTGTACTGTATTCTATAACACTTTCCCTATGTTAGATAAGTTAGATTGCATAAATTTAATATATTACATTTATTCTAATTTATATTATAAAATTAAACAAATAAAGAAAACAAACAGCATAATTTTAATCAGTCGAGTCAATCTTTCAAAATATGGCAATTATCGGCGAAGGGAAATTTCGAAATATCATTATGGAAATAATAATTATTTTATTTTTTATCATATGCGCCATAGAAAATACTTTATTTAACATAAATTTTAATACAGATCATTTTAAGAATGCATTATCAATTTTCGATTAATTTTGTGTTAACAGAAGCTTTTACATATAGAAAGATTACGGAAAGATATAAAAATAATATAAATAGAAAGAAAATTAATACTATTCAATGATCCGTCAGATTTTTATCCATTCTCGAAATTTTGCATTTTTCAACGTTTTGCCATTCCTTGAAACATAAATTCTAAAAAACTTTATAAAATTATGCGTGCCTGTACGTTAACATCTATTATGCAAATATGTCAGGTATGGATAAATCAAAAAATTACTAAAATTATTTCTATATATGGGGGAATCGATACTATTAAATTTTGGTAATTAAAAGTCGAGATGATAATGAGATAGAGAGATGTGTCATATCTCGAGTAGGATCAGACTTAATGAAAATTTTACTCGTTATTAGTATTTACAATTTTTGAAAAACTTCCTCCTACCTTCAAAAATAAATTTTTTGCCTTTTTATAATAATTAGTAGCATAAAAATAATTTATTAAGAATATGTCATAACAGATGACGCCATGCAATTTTAACAGTAAATTGAGTGCCTGGAAAGTCCTGCAAAAGTTTTTGCAACAGTTCCCAGCTTTTTTAACTTGTTAAGATTTAGTGCTGAATAAAGGGGCTTCTTATATGTTATATTTGACTTTATTTATCCTCGATTTTAAACTGTTTCTTCGTACATGTTTAATTTAAAAATTGCTAGAAAGAAAAATCTATGAATTAAAAATTAGAGATAAATCCAAGGGCGAAGTTACTGGAAAGTTTAAAGGTGCTTTTCTCCCCTCAATGTCGTCTGCTGAATAGTCGGTAAACACACGTGCAAAAACTAATAATATATTATTTTGGCATTAAAAAAAATATATGGTCGGACATCTGAGTAACCAAATAAGAGATCAAAATACAAAATTTTAAAATTGTTTTCTTTATCGCCATTCTTTTGTATTGATCTACTTTAAATTTAAATAAATTTTTTTAAAAGTTTAAAATTTAAATTTAAATACGATTTTTTAAGAAACGAGTTAAACGAGTTTTAAAAAAACAATCTTCTAATTAACAAACAGATTTATACGTTACATACTTCATTTATTTGTTTCTACAAGTAAATAGAAAAGATCTGAAGAACAGTTGGGGTTTCTATTAGAGTTTCTCATTTCCCGGTCTTTTGCTTGTCCCGGGATTCCGGGATAAAAGTGAACTGTTTCCCGGAATCCCGGGAAATCCCGGGACAAAATTAATTATTTTTAAGATATAAAAAATATCATGAAATCAAATGATATAATTATTTGTCATTTTCTAAAGTAATTTAATACGTTCTGCAACCTCCAAAATCGTATTAATAATGCTGTGTAAGATATATATTAAAAATAATCTTTGAATTACGTAGAAATTTTCACAAATAGAAAAAAAATTATTAAGTTTTCTGGAAACTGCATACAACAAAAATGCTTTGAAATGAGTTGGAGTTGAAAATTAAAAAAAAAAAAAAACTTAGATCAAACTTCTAACTTAAAAAGTAATTTTCGTTTTTTAAATAAAACATAATACAAAATATTATTGTAAATTTTTATAATAAGATTTTAAAAAGCAAAGATGGTCAATACTGTACTCCGATCACTCAATCTGGTTCTTATTTTAGTAATGAAAAGTCCCGTTACCGAGAATGCCCTTTCCGATTTAATTAATATTAGTGGAATCGTCTTTAACGCATTTAAGAAATATTATGTGTTTTCTCACCCTTAGCCTCGAAGATTTCTAGTTCGTTTTCGAGATTGTAGTACAGTACTTCTTTCGCTCTCTAGTATTCTTCATTTGTCTACCTAGGCTGCTTTAATAGCGACATCAAGCTTATAGCTCGATAATTCGGCAATTCGTTTGGCTTTAATAATTAGGTTTATGAAGAAAAACTTCGTACTTGCAAACTACATACTTGTTTGTATCCTTGCCCAATTTGCACCACGTGGCGTTACGCAGTTATCGAATCTACTGGGCATGGTTAAAAATTAAGACAGCGTAAGCACAATTTTCCAGATATTACAGGTTCTGACAAGTAAAGAATTTTCACATTCCTGTCACAAATAAGCTACGTATTAATTATTGACCATTTGTGACATGCCATAACGATAACAAATTTAAAAAACTAATAAGTAGGTTTAAAATTAATAAGTACAATACAAATGTATTCTGACAGTTTATGAGTTAATTATACTCTCTATTTGTGAAATTTCCTCAACCTTAACACAAAATAAGAAAAAAGTGAACTTTTAAGAAATTTGCGGGATTTTCCGGGATGAGAAAAATTTCCCGGGTTAAAAAAACAACCGGGATCCCGGGATCCTGTTTCAGAAACCCTAGTATCTACTATCAAAATTAACAAATATTCATAAAAACAGACAACAAAAGATATTCGCCAAATCGTATGTTTGCTAAGCGTGCAAAACTTTTTAACTTTCTGCCGCCCAGCTGTCGTGTACCCAGCTTCCACCGCCCACATTTTCTC